TCTAAGTGGGACAGAGGTAAATAATGATGTATGCACAACGTTGGAACAACAGGGCTCTGGGATACAGGGATTGAGACATGGTTGGAATGGGGAAAAAAGGGGGGAAATAATGTTAAGAGGCTTGGCTGTCTTTTGAATCTTGGTTTCCTTGGCATAAAATGGACACTTGAGGGGGAGGGAAAGAAAGAGCCAGAAATATCACCATAGAAAGTTTGAAAGTCCGTCTTCTGCCTATAACTGATTGGAATACCTAAAATGGGGCTACAACGTGCCCAGTGAAGGAGGCTTTCTGCAGAACCTCAGCATTATATAAGACCATAGGTAGAACCCTGAACTCCATCCAGAATCTTCTGAGGTGGGAAAATTCCACTTGAAAGGACAAGCAGACCAGCCTGGAGTGACTAGAACAGAAAATACTTCTTGAAAGAAAGACTGACAGGAAAAAACAATAACAGAGGTTCAACCGATTACTACAAAAACAAGCAAGTTGCTCGCCCAGGAGACAGTAAGGAAAATGGTCAGGTCCCCTCAGGACAAACCTCCTTCCAAGACTAAGACTCAATGGGAATACATGAGCAGACATGCACTCTGACTCGTGACCACATTAGTCACTAATAAGGGGAGGTGAGGGAAAAACTGCAATGAAGCTGTGAGCTAAGCCCTACAATGTTCAATAGAATAGACTCCTGTGAACCCGGGTGGAGACCTGGTTAGCCAGCAGTTTGGCAAGACCTGTGGACTCCTGGGCCCAGAGTCAGTGACATAGCCACAGAGGACTAGAGTGGAAAGTGAAGCGTCCAGCTGATAAGAAGAAAGGACATATGCACAAGTACACCCACACTTACAGATAATACCCACTTAACCTGGCTTCAATGACTGGAAGATCAAAACTCAAACTAGAGGAAGAAAGAAGAGGAAAAAAGGAATAATTTGATACAATTTGATGAACTTGACCTACACCTATGGATGCAATAGCTCAAAAGAGGGAACAAATCTTTATAGCAAGGATCATTCCCACACCCTCCATACACAGAGTAGACCGGGATGGGCAATTTGGACATTGGCTACCCAAAATGGGCAGGGGCAAGAAATGACTGCCTTACAACCTTTCAAGAGGGAACCTAGATCCAGAGGGTGTGGAGGAAGGTAGACTCTCCACTGAATAGTATCCAACCTGTCTGGGAGGGGCTGATGAAAGGAGATGCAGATAGGTCTCCTGTTGTACAATAGTGAATAATTGTTATCAGGAGTGATTGTGAGGGTTGGAAATGTAAAGGTAGATGTTTTGTAGCATAAGGAGGGGAGTGATTGGCTTTGCAGACTAGGACCGGAGGTCCCTGGGACCATCAAGGGAAAAGTGCGGAAAGCGGGACCCTACCCAGAGAAGCAGTGACGCCAGAGATGGCGGCAGAGATGATGAAGTGGAAAGACCCAGAGAGGGAGAGGGGCTGTGTGCTGCCGACCGGGGGTTGGGGTGGGGGCAGGCTTGTAGGGTATACCCTTTGGTTGGCTGATGATGCATGGAGGGGATTATAACCATAGCAATGAAATGATATATGATAGGATGAATGTAAAGCTAATGTTCTCCCATGAAAACTATCACATAATTCACAATAAAACACTTAAAAAAAAAAAATGTTGAAGAGCAAAGATGTTAGCTTGAGGACTAATGTGTGCCTGACCCAAGCCATGGTATTTTCAATAACCTCATATGCATGTGAAAGCTGTACAGTGAATAAGGAAGACCATAGAAAAATTGATGCTTTTGAGTTATGGTGTTGGAGGAGAATATTGAAAGTGCCATGGGCTGCCAAAAGAACAAACAGATCTGTGTTGGAAGAAGTGCAGCCAGAGCGCTCTTTGGAGGCCAAGATGGCCAAACTTTGTCTTTCATACTTCAGACATATTATCAGGAGGGACCAGTCACTGGAGAAGGATATTATGTTTGGTAAAGTGGAGGGTCAGAGAAAAAGAGCGAGACCCCCAGTGAGATGGACTGGCCAAGTGGCAGCATCGATGGGCTCAAGCGTGGCAACAGTAGTGAGGTTGGCCCAGGATCGGGCAGTGTTACGTTCTGCTGTGCATAATGTCGCTATGAGTTGGTACCGACTCGATGACACCTAACAACAACAATATATATGGAATCCCTGGGTGGTAGAATGGGTGAAATGCTCAGCTGCTAACAGAAAGGTTGGAGGTTCGAGTCTACCTAGAGGCATTTTGGAAAAAAGAGCTGGTTATCTGCTTCCAAAAATATGAGCCATGGAAAATCCTGTGGAACACAGTTGTACTCTGACACATGAAGGGGCACCAGGAACCAGAATGAACAGGAGGACAACAGTTTTATATGCATATGAGGGGGCTTCCAGACGTTTGTGGAATAGTTCTATGATCTTTCAGTTCCATTTTTCCACATAAATTTTTGAGACCACTCCCCCACATGTATATTCAAGGAGAACGATGTGGCAGTCCACTTCTGTAAAACCCTTGGTAACTCTGTGGGGCAGGTCCACGCTGTCCTATACAGTGGTTACATGTTGGAATTCAACTTAGCACCAACAGGAACCACTGGTAGTTTCAAACTGCCTGACTTGTAACCACTACAAGAACTCCGTATGTATATTTATATACGTGTGTGTGTATATTCTTAAGTGCCACTGAGTCTGGTCTGACCTATAGCGACCCTGTATTGGGTTTCCGAGGAGCGGCTGGTGAGTTTAAAGTGCCGACTTTGTGGTCCAGTACATTAGCCTGCGGTGCCACACCATATAGTTGTTGTTAGGCGCTACTGAGTAGGTTCTATCTCATGATTACCCTGTATATGGTTTCTGAGGATTGGCTGGTGGGTTTGAACCACCAACTTTAAAGTTAGCAGCTCCATCCTTATCATACAGTGCCACACCAGGACCCCAGTTACTACATTAGAGGTTACAAAACAGTTCTGTTGTTGTTGTTAAGTGCCATCGAATAGGTACCGACTCATAGAGACCGTATGTACAACTGAATGAAACACTGCCTGGTCCTGGGCCAACCTTACAACTGTGGCCACAATTGAGCCCACTGATGCTGCCACTTGGCCAATCAATCTCACTGGGTGTCTTCCTATTTTTCTCTGACCTTCCGCCTTACCAAACATGATATCCTTTTCTCCAGCGACTGGTCCCTCCTGACAATATGTCCGAAATATGAGAGACAAAATTTGGCCATCCTGGCTTCTAAGGAGCACTCTGGCTGCATTTCTTCCAAACACAAATCTGTTGGTTCTTTTGGCAGCCCAAGATACTTTCAATGTCCTCCTCCAACACCAGAACTACTACATTTAAACAATAACTTGTCATATATATTCTATGATTAAAATTGGTGATGAACCTTGGGATTCTGTCTGGTCTGGGAAAAGGTCCATGGAGGGAGGGAGGGTGATACCCCACTGGGTAACAACAACCCGAAAAACGTCACTGGGAATACACAGAAAGCAGTCCGTAAATATCCAGGACTACTATTATTTTCAAGGCTACTATTACTATTAATTATTTATAGAGGTGGGTGGTGGTGGTTATGTGCTGTGGAGTCGGTTCCAACTCATAGCAACCCTGTACAGGGTTTCCGAGGCTGTAAATCGTTAGGGAGAAGAACGCCTCATCTTTCTCCCACAGAGCAGTTTCAAAATACTCACCTTGAAGTTAGCAGCCCAATTCGTAACCACTACACTACCAAAGCTCCCCGCTATTTAGAGTATTTGTAATCAATCTGCTTTAATGTTGAAATAGAGGATTCTTTCTAATTACAGAAAATCTGAGGGGAGCAAGTCTGTGCTTTCTTTGCTAGACTGTGGCTCTAAATCCTAGCACTGAGAAACGAATACCCAGAGGCCTCTCCTGGAATCAAAACATATAACCCACACACTTACATCACTGAGTCCAACCTATAGAAAGTACGAATGAATGAATGTAAACCTAATGTTTTCCCATGAAAACTATCACATAATTGACAATAATAAAAAAAAAAAAAAAAAAAAGGAAGGAAGGAAGAAAGTTGTATAACAGAATTGCCCCATAGGGCTTCTGGGATACCTTTCTCCTGAGGGCATCTGGTGTGGGTTCGAACCACCGACCTTTTGGCTCACTAGGCACTAGGGCTCAAACTATGTTGTTGTTGTATGTGCCGTGGAGTTGGTTCTGACCCATAGTGACCCTGTACAGGGTTTCCGAGGCTGTAAATCTTTACAGGAGCAAAAAGCCTCATCTTTCTCCCGTGGAACAGCTGGTAGTTTCCAACTGCTGACATTGCAAGTGGCCAGCCCGATTCATAACCACTACGCTACCAGAGCTCCTTAGGGCTCAAACTATAGACCCAACTTAATGTTCCAGGCCTTCACGTGCCATGTCCCAGAGAGTCACAAAGTCACAATGTTCTAAACAGAACCCCAATCCCACTGTGTTCCCCAGTTGCACTAGGCTGTCACCTGTCTCTGCCATGACCCTCCCCACCCCTCATAAAGTGTAGGGCTCTCCTGCCCTCTGTTACCCCCACACAAACCCCTCTGATGTATGAATATACGAATGAATGGACTTGCTTAGTCCCCAGCAAGGCAATTCACAGCACACGGAATGAACAGCGCCCCACCCCACCCCCCAATTCTACAAGCATGCGTGGTCTTACTTACCTCCCCGTATGCCATGGTATTGTTGTATCTTCTCATTTCTGGGTAAACGTGGTCCAGGTACCACTGGAAATTCTTACACTTTAAGCTCTTCCTTAACGCTCTTCTTTCAGAGACATCACCAATGTCAATTCCTGGATTCTGGAAGCAGAAAGAGAAGCCATGGGCATCAGTGATTGTGGGGGACTAGGCAGAAGACGCAGGTTCAGTCATCTTCAGGGACCTCCATGCAGGAAGAGTTTAAGGAAACATGCTTGCTTTGTCTCTACCCCCCGTGTGTCAGTGTGTCGTCCTGCGGGCGCTCAAATGTGTCTGTGATGCTAGACGCTATGCTACTAGTATTTCAAATACCAGCAGGGCCATCCATGGTGGACACTGAGCTGGAAGGGATACTCAGTGTTCTCCACTGCTTGAGTGCCTATGTTCAGGTATTTTCAGTCTCTCTTCTCTATCCAGTTTGGGTGCATGACAAACAAGTGCAGAAAAATGAGTATTCAAAAACTTGTAACTTTGAGAGTCAAGAATATGAATTTCTTTCAGATCTGGCTCATCCACTGTAAGGCCAGAGGCAAGCTGTTAACCTCTCTGGACATTAATTGGGAGTTTACAACTAAGTAATTTTAATTAAACCCTATCCGCCATGTCCACCTTTGGGCCCTGGAAGTTATACCACCAGAATTTCAAATACCAGCACGGTCGCCCAGAGTGAGCAATTTTCAACCGAGTTTTCAGACTAAGAAGAAAGTCCTGGAGATTGACTTCTAAGAATTAGTTCATGAAGACCCTAGAGATCACAATGTTCCCGTATGATGCTGGAAGATGAACCCTCTAGGTTTGGGCAATTCTCAGCAGTTTACAGATTAAGACAGACTAGGAAGAAAGGCCTGGAGACCTACTACTGAAAATCAGCTCATGAAAACCCCCTATGGATCACAACTCAATAGGCTTCCATGTGGTGATGGTGGAAAATGAGCCCCTTAGGATAGAAGGTGGTTAAAACACACAGTGACCACTACACTGGACATGAATATCCTGAAGACTGTGAGGACTGGGCAGTGTTTCATTCCGTGGCACACTGGTCACGAGTTAGAGCCAACACCATAGCAACTGACGAGAGCCAACTTGAAACATCGAGACCCCAACCGGAGAATCCTGCTTCCTTACTGAAGTTACAAGAATGTCCCCCACCCTGCCACCCCCAGAGCTCCCAGACAGCAGTGGCTGTCCTGTCATCACTGTTGAAAGGGTCCCTTGAGGACCTGAGATGCTGACCTCTGCTCAGTGTGACATTTCTCCCCGTTTGCTCAGTAACTACCCGAACCAATTATGAGAGGGATTATTTGATTAAGACAAGAAAATAGGTGCGTATCACCACCTACTGCCTCCCTTTCCTATTCATGTGTAATTTTTCCCTTTGTTGGTGCTTTGTGAAGTTCATTATATACTGAAGGGAAAATAATTTTCTATTGCAAAGCTTGTAATGATGTTCTAATGAATAATTCACTCTGCTTTTACAGACACAGACCTGTAATGGGCTGCTGGGTGATGACTAGGGAAAATGAAGTATTTGAAATACGAGTCCGCAGACTCAGCCTCAAGATGGCCCTGGATTCATAGAGACACAAGACGTGCTCTCCACAGTCAGGCAGCGTTTTGAAGAACAGTTCTCAAAACTTTTCATTAAGGTCTGGGCTGTCAAATGGAAAACGCTTTTAAGATGCCAAATATTAACATACAGAGGCAAATTCAAGAAGCAATTTGAAGGCTTTGTCTTTAATATGTGTCATGTGATTGATAAAAATGTTTGGGTACCACTGACAGTGAGTACCAGACAGATGTCTGCAGTATTGGAGAAAAGACCAGTTGGAATTGGGGAATCTAAGTCCCACCATCTTCCTTAGGAGGGATAATAAGACCTATTCTGCTGGGGTAAGGGGGTGGGTGAATTAGGAGATCTATCTCTGCCCTGCCACGGACTAGCAGTAGGTCTTTAAGCAGTTCACGTAACCTCCTGATGTTGGTTTTCCTCATCTGTAGAACAAACATCTTGTAGGTTTCTCAACAAGCTAACATTGATTGAGCCCTAGTATTTTTCATCTTCAGGAGCTCTGGGAGCTTACTGGTTACAAATCAGGCTGCTAATCTCCCGGTCAGCAGTTGGAAACTACCAGCTGTTCCCTGAGAGAAAGATGAGGCTTTCTGTTCCCATAAAGATTTACAGCCTCAGAAACCCTACCTAGGGTCGCTGTGAATCTCGGATCTGACCCCACAGCACATAACAACAACAACATTTTTCATCTTCACAGCACCCTTATGCAGAAGATAGTATTCCCATCTTTGTTTTACAGATGAAGAGACTGAGGTAGACAGTTTGCATGTCATAAGGTGGTTATGAGGCGTAAAATGAGAAAATGCAAATAGAACTCACTGGGATATAGTAAGCTTTCAGTAAGCATTTGTTAGGGAGTCCTGGTGTGGCGCTGTGGGTCAATGTGCTGAACTGCTAAGTCGGTTTGATCTGCAAGATCGGTGGTTCAAGCTCACCAGCCACTCCTTAGAAACCCTATACAGGGTCGCTATGAGTCGGAACCAACTCAACAGCACTTAACAACTTAATAACAACAACACAGATTTGAGGAGTCCTGGTGTGGTGTTGGGGAATAAATCAGTGGACTGCAAGGTCAGTTTGAACCACCAGGTGGCAGCTCACACTCACCAGCCATTCCTTGGAAACTGTCACCAGAAGTCAGAACTGCCTTGAAAGGCACCTAATAACAACACCATTGGTAAGATTTATTAGTAACAGTAAGTCTGACTCACAAGGGCCTTAGAACTTCCCCTCAGTATGTTCTCACCAATCACCCTTATGGGAGCAGACTGCCAAGTCTTTTATCTCCTGTAGCCACGGGGTGGGTTTGAACCCCCAACCTTTTGGCCTACCAGTTGAGTGCTTAATCGATGGCTTAACCCAGGCTTCCCATTAAACCTACCACCCCCAGTCCATTCTGAGTCACTGCGACCCCGCGTAGGGTTTCCAAAGCTGTGAATCTTTATGGGAGCAGAAAACCTCATTTTTCTCCGTTGGAGCAGCTGGTGGGTTTGAACTGCTGATCTTGTGGTTAACAGTCCAGTGCTTATTCTATAGCACCACCAATGCTCCTTGCTTGCCACTAGGGCTCTTTAACAAATAATAATTAAAATAATAATAATAATGCGCCTATTGTTAGGTGCAGGAGCTCTGGTAGCGTAGTGGTTACGAATCGGGCTGCGAACCTTAAGGTCAGCGGTTCGAAACTACCAGCCGCTCCGCAGGAGAAAGATGAGGCTTTCTACTCCCGTAAAGATTTACACCCTCGGAAACCCTGTACAGGGTCGCTATGGGTCGGACCCGACTCGATGGCACTTAACAACAACAACAACATTGTTAGGTGCTGTCAAGTTGGCTGACTCACATCAGCCGTATGTGTAACAGATCAAAACACTTCCAAGTTTGGTTCTATTGTTGCAGCCATGGTGTCAGTAGATGCATCCGACTGTACAAGCATGTAGAGTTAACAACGACAAAGTGCTTCATGGTCATAGGAAATTTTCAGTTACTGAAAAAGGTATTCCAAAAACCTCCAACGACAGTGATACTGAATGTTGACCTGTACGTAGCCTCATGATCCCTAAAGCTTGTGTACATTCAGTGCCTACAATTCAGTGCAATTCTGCGGTTCTGGGCTTCAAACAAAGCGACTGCCAACTCTCAGTGAGAATCAACCTGCTCACTCACTCAGCATGCCTTAGGGACACCTAGGGAGGCTGAGGAGAATGCCCCAGTTGTGGTGGGGGAGCAGATCACCCTGTGTGACTAACTACACTTGCCAGTGGTACCAAGCAAGTATCCCCGGTCAGGCACTGCTCGGAGCATGTCCTGTGTGTGAAATGCACTGAGCTCTCACAGGGACCTACGGAGCAGGAGTGGTTCTGATTCCCATCTTATAGCTGAGGAAGCTAAGAGGAATGGGTTTGCTCAAGATCTCAAAGTTACTAAGCAGTCGAGCAGGGATTCAAACCTCCGCAGCATGTGGCTGGAGGACATGGGTCCTATTCTGGGCTGTATTCCAAGCAGAGCAGGAGGGCATGCTGAAGAGCATGTAAACATTCAGCACACAGGGGGCATAGCCAGGCGCACAGCGGGAGCAGCGGATGGGATCTGGTGCCAACATGTGGGGCAAGAACCTTCTGAGTCCAGTGGATGCCCAGAAGCAGCTGTACTGGATTAGTATCGTGCAATCCAGACACCAAGGCTGCTCATCAAGGCAAACGGACTGAGAGATTCCCACTGTGCCAACCCGTACCTCAAAGGGGCACGGGGGCGTCGAGAATTCAGAGGGCTGAGGCTGAGGCAAGTGCAGTCGTGATTCTGCACATGTCCACCTGGTTAAACTAGAATCCCCAGTGATGTGGCCAAATACTAGCTGAGTCCCAGGTTCCATAATGGAATGCAAAGTAAACACCTTCTAGCATGGAAGGCGTCCAGGGCCAGCAGTCCGTCTGTCCATAGCAGGTTTTCCGTAGGGTGTGGTCAGCCTCCAGATCATAAATGGAGATTATGACAGCTCTCTCCCCATCACCTGCTCTATGGGCCTTGGGACGAGAGCCTGTGGGAGTCTCCAGTCTGCCACCTGAGCTACGGAATTCAAACTTGCCAGTCCCTCACAACCCCACAGTGGTGAGAGCCAGTCCCTGAAGACAAAGGTGTGTGTGTATGTGTGTGTGTGTGTGTGTGTGTACATAAGGCAGCTTCAAAGGTTTGTGAAAAACTTTCTTATACATACACACAGATTTTTGAAGGAGCTTCAAAATGTTCATGGAACATGGAATAATGGAATTGAAGGATAATGGAATTTTCCCACAAACTTTTTAATGCCCTGTCATTCATATATATACATATATATACACACACACACACAATCCACACATATACACACACACATATATTGCTGTTATGCGCCGTCGAGTTGGTTCCGACTCATAGCGACCCTGAACAGGGTTTCCGAGGCTGTAAATCTTTACAGGAACAGAAAGCCTCATCTTTCTCCCATGGAGCAGCTGGTAGTTTCGAACTGCTGACCTTGTGGTTCGCCACCCGATTTGTAACCACTACGCTACCAGAGCTACACACACACACACACACACACACACACACACACACACGTTGTTAAATGCCATCCAGTCAGTGCCAACCCATAGCGACCCTGTATAGGGTTTCCAAGGAGCGGCTGGTGAGCTTGAACTCCGATCTGTGGTTCAAACGACCTTGCAGTCCAGTGC